CATTTTCCGGTTGTCAATCGTTCGTAGAGTTCACACTTCTTCAGATGTAACAGTCATAAATGAAGGATTATTTGCAAACAACAAGTTACTTTCATCTGTCAAATTTTCATCGAAATTGACAAAAATTGACTCTTTTGCATTTTTGAATTGCAATCAATTCCAAATAGATTCAATTCCATCAACAGTTACACAGCTCGGCGAAGCAGCTTTTTCTGGAACATTAATTGTTAATTTCACAATTGAATCAAATCTCGAAGAAATTCCTGCGAAATTATTCATGGGATGTTCTAATTTAACAGAGTTATCTCTTCCTGACACTATTAAATCAATTGGTGACAGTGCTTTCGAAGGTTGTTTTGAATTAAATTTAATTCGATTACCAGAATCAGTTGAATCACTTGGAACAAGAATTTTCTACAACTGCAAGAGCATTAATACATTCTTTTATCCACTTGATTCTATTCCTGATTATACATTTGCTGGTTGCGAAAATCTCAGATTTATTATTTACAAAACAAACATCAAAACATATGGAAAATACTCTTTGTCTGATTGCAAATTAATCAATACAATTGATCTCACAGAAGATCTCTCTAAAATTGATGATTACGCATTCCAAAATTGTCAAAATATGAATTTGACAAGTTTACAAAACGTTTCTACACTTGGAAATGGAGTATTTAAAGGCTGCACTTCATTAACAACATTTACAATTCCTAATAGTATAACTGAATTAAGTAATGAACTATTTATGGATTGTTCAAATCTAATAAATGTTGAGATGCCAAATGTCAAGAAAATTTTTGATTCTTGTTTCGAAAATTGCAACAAATTAATGATTTCTGAATTACCAAATGGAGTTGAAGAAGTTAGAAACAGAGTATTTGCAAACTGCCAATCAATTAAAACGTTTTCTTATTCATTACAAACATTAAATTCATTTGTTTTTGCTAATTGTTCTGGATTAGAAACAATTACTGTTACAAATGTTAATTATTTCGGAGAATCATGTTTTAATAATTGCAATTCTTTAAAGAATATTGCATTTAGTGCTAATACAAATTATATTGGAGATTTCGCGTTCGAAAACTGCATCAATTTGCAAATAAATTCTTTTCCAAATGGTGTCAAATCAATCAATGGAAAATATATTTTCAAAGGATGTAATTCAATTGTTGAATTCACTTTTCCAGCCGGTTTCGTATCCATTCCAGATGGAATGTTCATGGATTGCAAGAATTTAGCGAAAGTTACTGTTTCTGATGGAACTTTTTCACTTGGAAATGATTTATTCATGAATTGTGACAAATTATCAAATGTTGTTTTACCTGATTGTATTAATGAAACAAAGAGAAACTTATTCTATAATTGTGTTTCTCTTGAAACAATCGAATATCCATCAGATTATGTTCCATTTGCTTGTTTCGCTTTGTGCAAGAACTTAAACAAAATCACATTCAAGAAAGAATTAACAGGAATTGATGCATTCGCATTCTATCAATGCGAAAAGTTACCTTTAGTTCCTTTGACAGAATCAATTAAAGTATTAAGTTCTCATGCATTTGAAGGCTGTCTTCAAATAACTAATGTGAAGTTACCTGATTCTGTTCCTTATGTAAGCTATTTCATGTTTAGTAATTGTGTTAATTTGGAAAGATTTGAAGCAGGAAAGAAATTAATTAGTGTTGATGATGGCGCCTTCCAGAATTGTTTGAAATTGAAAGAGATAATTTTGCCAGATAATACAATGACATCCTTCGGAAAATATTGTTTCAGGAACTGCACAAATCTTGAAGAATTCAAAGTTCCTCAAACAATTTCTTTGATTTACATGACAAATAGTTTATTTGAAGGTTGTGTCAAATTGTCAAAAGTCACTTTTACTGATAGAATTGATGAAATCAGATCTCTTTCTTTCTCTAATTGTGCTTTCACAACAATAGAATTACCATCATCAATCATGTATTTGGCTGAAGACGCTTTCAATAACTGCAATTCTTTAATTGAAGTGAAATGTCCTCTTTTGAATTATCAACTTTACAAATCGTCACCTTTTGCTACTTGTTCTCAATTACAAAAAGTGACAATTGTTGACAACTCAATTTTCCACCAAAGAATACCAAATAATTTCTTGAAGGACTGCGCAAAGTTAACTGAAGTAATAATTGAAACAACAACTTTGGCAGAAATGAGAGAAACAACTTTCCAAAATGTAAATTCACTTAAAACGGTTTCAATCACCACAAAAAGTGACAACTTAATTTTACCACTTAATTTATTCCAAAGTTCGAAGTTATCTTTAGAAAAAATTGTTATTCAGTGCAATTCCATTGAATTTGAACAGAATTATTTCAACGATTTTGTCAATATGAAAGAAATACAAATAATTGGTAAAAATTGTAATTTAGGATTGTCACTTTTCAAAGGATGCAAGTTATTACAAAAAGTGACAATTAATTCAGCAAATACCAAGCTTAATTTAGAAACAGATTTCTTTGATAGTTGTGAATCGTTGTCAGAAATTTATTTGACATTTGACACTTTATATATCGGCAAAAATGTTTTTGCCAACAAAGAAACGATCAAAACAATTTCAATGAATTCAAATGTTATTTCATTTGATGACTGTGCATTTCAAAATGCTCAGAACATTGACTTGAAGTTCAATGGCTTTGTCACAAAAATTGGAAAGAACTCATTCGAAAACACAAATATTTTCAATGAATTAGTAATAAATGGCAAAGATTTAGTTATTGACAGTTCGGCTTTCATCAATTCCAAATCAATAACAAAGATAAACATTAAAGGAACTATTAAAACATTGGGAGATTCTTCATTCAAAGGATTGACAAATTTGGAATCATTTGATATTGATTCACAAAGTGAAATTCTTGTAGATAATCATGCATTTTGTTCTTGTTCGAATTTGAAGAAATTCACAACTAAAGGCAAATTAAATGTTGGACAATTCGCTTTCCATGAAAACATCAACTTGGAAGAAATTGATTCTCAAGGAATTGTCGCAATTAGTAAAGCATGTTTCGCTAATTGTTCGAAACTTAATAAAATAGATTTGTTGAAATACACTGAAATTCCTGAAAGAGCTTTCGAAGGTTGCCAGAATTTGAATAATTTCGATTTCATATCACAAGTCACCAAATTTGGCGATTATTCATTTTATAATTCTGGAATTGTAGAACTTGATGTAATACAAAGCAAATCAATATTTGGAGAATTTTCTTTCTCTAAGACTAACCTCAAAAAAGTTTTGATCTCTTCAAATCATTCTGATTTCGGCAAATCATCATTCAGCTTCAATAAAAACTTGAAAGAGTTCTACTACTGCGGTGATAATACATCAGTAGATAACTCTGTTTTAGAAGGATCCGATAACGTCAAGAACGTATTCATTTCTTCATCATTCGGATATGAAAATTTCGCTGGAAAGAATGTAACAACAAGTGATGTCTGTGGAAGTGGTGGTGATGATTCTCACTCAAAGACTGTTAAAATTACGATAATTGTATCAATATCAGTTATTGTTGTGATTGCGGTCGTTGTTTTAGTTGTTTTCTTCGCATTCTGCAGAAGAAACAGAATTAAATTACTATCAAGTGCACCACTTATTACAAGCGCCGATTCATCTGTATATTTTATGACCGCAAAATAAAAAATTTAATTAATTTGAAATATTTTTTTATTAATAATTTAAGGGTCCGCATTCCGACAAAATAATTAAAATGTATTCGAATTATAGATTCCAAATATGTGTGTGTGTGTACTGAATTGTGATTTGTAACCCCTACCACTCTAATTTTGATTGGAAGACCAAAGTTCCAGATGTTTAATTTGAGATTTTTTCCTATGAGATCTGAGAAAAGTTATGAGATGAGCGTTTGGATCAAAAATTATTATATTCAGTATATTTTAAATTTTGCCAATCTACTGTATCTACTGATAACATAATAATTTGGACATGCACAATTTTTTAAAATATATGTAAATTCCGATAGAGGAAGTTTGGCCAACAAAATTTCTACAAAAATGAAATTGGGAAATGATAAAAATCTTAAAGATATTGGGTTTGATGCAGATATATTTGCAAATGAAGCATACGAAGGAATGTCATTTGACAAACATTTTCGCTTTATATTGACAAATTATTTGATTTTCTTTTTATTAATTGTCCTTGTTTTTATACTACCTTCAATTCATAGGGAGAATATTAAAAAATACGATGCCACAGACTCTAGATCAACAGTTTCTTTGATATATATCCAAAAACAGTCATATCAACCTTTTATTAACGTTTTTCTGGCCAATACTGCCACAAATAAGTCAGAAGTTGCAATCAGCGCCGACTATCGATTAGATTTATATCGCGGAGTTACTTTATATACAGCAACACCAAAATATCAGAATAATTTTAACATATCAAATGGAGATAGGGTCAAATTACTTGGTTGCAAAGATTCCCGCGTATCCAGAGTTGAATTTCATGGTCATGTTAAAGTTAAAAAAGGAAATTTAGCAAATCTTTCATGGATTTGGCAGGATTTCAATCCTGTTTACGGTCTATCTATATTTTTTATATTCAGTGTGTGCTGTTTTCTCTTGATTACATGCTGTTTATTAGTTTTGAGATCGATTAACAAGTTAAAATCGCGTACAGCCACAAATGCGCAAAGATTCATACTTATATCGCTTGTACTCATCTCAATTTCGATGATTCCTCTTCCAGAACTCTCATTTTTCAACATATTAAATTTCTTCCACGACAAATCTTCATTTTTCGTTTTGTTTTACCGATCATTATTCGTCATCACGTCAGCTGCACTTACAATCAATCTTTCTTTTAGGGAAGAAAAAGCAGAAAACCTATTATACGAAATTACTTACATAATCATGCCATTTTTACTTGCTGCGTTCTATTTTGCATCCAGCGATCGACTAGTTTCTATTGGTCTTGCTGGTTTTGTATTTTTAATTCTTTGTTTTTTAATTTTTTCTGTTATTTTTATCCAGAAAGACAACAAAGAGGAATTTCTTGGATTAATTACTCATATATTCATTATATTACCTAATTATGGCCTTCTTATTGCTTGTCTTCTCTTAAATGTTGAAAGATTCAACAGATTAGAAGTTTTGTGCAGAATTTTCATTACAACTTCTGTTGCTTTCTTGTCTTTTATTAGATGGCCGTTTGAAGACTTAGTTTTGGAGATAAATGGCTTGGATTTCGATGTCGATCAGAAAGCCGATAGTTCTGATTGAATTTTTATATAGATTTATTTTTGTTTGTATGTATATGTAAAATATTCAGTTTGTTATTTGTAAAATAAAGTTTTTTTTTTAAAAAAAGGGTGAATTTACGCCCCTATGGCATGGTTAATTTTCAATGACTCCATTTGTCAGAAATTTGAATTAATATCAGATGGGTGTAAGTGCAGCCTTAAAGTGACATGAATATGTAGCTGTCATTATTGTGAACCGCCATAAATTTCTGTGGATTTTGGACATGGATAATTTTTTTCCCTCAGCAAACTATATCTAAAACCTTTTTAACTTTGTCGAAATCTGGAGCTCAAAATTATGCTATAAAAATCATTATTATTGCATATATGTATCTGATTTTAATTCAAAATATGTGAACATAATGCATGTGAACCATTAACATTGAAAAATTATGTTAAACATCATAGTTTAAAGTTGAGTCATTCAGCTATATGTAAATTCAATTTGTGCATATGGGGGTAATATTTATATAAAATAGCGTATGGTTTTACATTAATAATTTACAAAATTGGAAAAGCTTATATTTTGGAATTTGGAGATCTCAACCGTTATTTCTCCAAACGGGATCCTTAATTCAATAACACAATAATTTGGGCTTACACAATTTGTTTATGAACACTATTAATTTATAAAAGTCATAAATTATTCCGATAGAGGAAGATTGGCCAACAAAACTTCAACAAAATGAAATTGGGACATGATAAAACTCTTAAAGATATGAGATTTGTCGAGATATACCTTTTTAAATTAAAATGCAAACATGTGACAATTTATGGACATCTTTTAATGGTGTTTCACTCAAAACATCTACTTCATTATTAATTGCCCCAAATAAAATAAGAACTTCCACTATTTCTTTATTATTTTTTAATTGAGCAATATTAAGAGGAGTTCTCCCATTTATATCTTTTTCATTTATATTGGCACCATGTGAAATAAGAACTTTGGCTATTTCAACACGATTAAAATTGGCTGCAAAATGGAGAGGCGTAAACCATTCTTGATCTTTTTCATTAATATTTGCCCCTAATTCAATAAGAATATTGACTATTTCTATAGTATTAAAAATGACTGCAAAATCGAGAGGTTTTCTTCCATATTTATCTCTATCATTGATATTAGAACCACTTTCTATCAAAATTTTTAATATTTCATTAGTTCTATACTTTATTCCATAGTAAAGAGGAAAGTATCCATCATTATTTTTAACATTTGAGATTCGTCGAAATCATCTTCTCTTATGAGGTATATAAATAAATTTTTATCATTCTCCATAATAGCCCTGAAAATTGTATTTTTTTCATGAATTTCAGATGAATTATTTTCTGAATCATTATTTTCTGCTAGTTTATGTTCATCATTTATACTACCTAAGAATATTTTGAAAAAAGGTGAATTTTCATCTAATTGTTTGTGATAATCTTCCATTATCTTTTTTAAAATAAGCATATATGATGTAAAATATCGATTTCTATACAACAATACATTATCTATTGCATTAATAATATACAATGGAGAACATTTTTGCGTTTCAATTAATTTAAATTTTATATCATGATAAACATCGTTCAGTTCTTCTTCATTGAATGACAGTATTCTGTATAGTGAATTCATTGTTTCAATGAAACCTTTTTCTTGTTATAACAATAGTCACTTTTTTTTAAAAAAAATTCTAATATCATCAAAACCCTGATATTTGAGAAAAATCGCGAAATGCTGTGCTAGACACAACACTATGACTACTGAAATATCTTATCTATTTTCACTTGGACCAGCATGCTCGCTTCAAGTTTCAATTGAAATACATTATCAATAATGAGATGACTCCCTGAAAAAATAAGTGATTTTGAGTTTTGGAATATTAAAAGCATAATATATACAATATATACTAAGGGAATATATAAAAAATTGAAATAGATCAATTATAATATTCTTCTCAATTTTTTGAATGCATGGAAAATTAATAATTTGAAACAAACCCCCTAAATTAAATGATCGAATATAATGGACACCAACTTCGTGATAGTTATTATTGCTTTGATGATATTTTATTACACCATTCAAAATGCAAAAAGTTCTTTCTTCAGGATGATACGCAGTATTAATAATGAAAAATACGTTTATTCATTCCTTTCTCAGCAACCAATGATATCTTATTGTGTAATTTCGAGACGTTATAACGAAAATGGAGGCAGTTATAAAATATGCAGCAATAGGTACAATTTTAACTATGGTTCATACCAACCCCGTCCTTTTCATATTTCATATCAAGAAAATGAAACAGTTATTTGTCTATTGAAGGAAAAATATATATTAAATGATAAAACAAAAGAATATTTGGATGAATTTTATGAAGAAATACATAATAAAGAAAGTAGAAACCGTGGTTTTGTTGAGATTGTTAAAGGTAAACCTAATACATGCTTGATTTGCTTAAGCAACAAAAATTCAAAAATTGTGAAATTATTAGGAAGCAAAATTGGTCAATTTTTATATATATTCTTAAGACTACTCAGATTACATCTAATATTAGAAAATATGTTCTATAAAGAAATTGATAGAAAAATCCAAATTACTGTTGAAAAAATGATCTCATTAGATTTAGATGAGTTTCAATATAGATATAATAAAAATATTCGTGGATCAATAATAAAAAAATTGCTACCTTACAAGGAAAATTCATTTGATCTTGGAATGTTGGTTCTTGATATTATATCTTTTATTCTTATGCTCTACTTAGTAGCTCAGCTATTCTACTTAAAGAGTGCGATCACCCCTTTCCGGCGCAAATTTTTTTCTAAATTAATCGAAATTCTAAAAAATTAAGTGGCATTCAGTGAGTGAATAAACGAATTACTGAGCGAAAAACGAAGATGTCATTATAATCATATTATTTCTTTATATGAGGTGTAAAAAAAGGCCAAAAATGATTAATGCACAACATGATTATTTAAATTTGAATTTGTTCATATTAGATTTTAAATATAATTATTACTTATTTTTGATTAAAAAGATTTCGAATATTTACATCGTTAGTCATATCAATTGCAGTTACACCTTTGTAATTCTTTATTGAAATATTTATTCCTCTACATTCTAGAGAAGTTTTACAGTTTCTGTATCATTTGACCTGCATGCATCATGAAGGGGTGTATTTCCATACTTATTTTGTGCATTAATATCAATTTCATATAACGTAAGAAGGAATTTGACAACTTCGAATGAATTATAAAAACAAGCATAATGGAGTGGTGTGTCTAGATCATCATTTCTCATATTAGGGTCAACACCACATGAAATAAGATCTTGAACAAGAGATAAATTATTTAATCTTACTGCATAATCAATTACTGTCATATTAAAATGGGATACTTTATGATATCCATTATCAACAGCAAATTTGATTGAATAAAGATCTCGTTCTTGACTACATTTTACAAATGTATCATAAAGACAAAATAAAATTTTTGAAATCCAATTTCTTTCAAAAAATTTAATGTTTTCATCAGTTGTTGAAATTTTATCATATTGTTTGTTTTCTTTATGATTATTATTATTTGGTGATAACATTAATGTTTCAAATAAATGAATGAAGATTTCATTTTCGTTTTGAATATTGTCATTTGCTTTATTTCTTGTTTTGATTTCTTGATCAAAAGAGTTGATGAATGAAGAATAAAATTTGATAAAACGATAAATTGTTTCGTTTGTGCAGAATTCGAATCTGATGAATTCAATCAGTTTGTCGAATTTTGATGATGATGAAAATGATAAAAAAGATGAAAATGTTTTGATGAATGAAATAACAAAATCACAGATATCATCTTCGTTGTAGACAAAAACATATCTATTACTCAAAATACTTGAAATAAAATCAACAAAAATCATCGATGTTTTCGTTAAAATACGATGATGCAATAGAATGATAAACAGATTCAAAAAGAAGACAAAGTTTGGAAGGTCCAAGAAAAGAGATATGAGATGCGATGAATGAACATGTTTTATCGAAATCACATGTTTTAAGACTGTATCGGATGAATGATTCGATGTTTGATTCACTGATAATTGTTGATGAAATAATGAATTTGTATTGTGAAATAAAATCTTCGTTCTTGAGAAGAACACCAAGATCATAAATAATTTCGCTTGTTTCGATGTCGATGTTTTCTGAAACATATCCTTCTTGAACAAACTTACAAAAAATGTTTAATGCTTTATTAAATGTTTCTTTATTGTTAATATCAGTATTAATATTAATATCAATATTAATCTCTTGTGCACTATTATCTGTAATCAACATGTTTCGAACTGTTTCACTTAGAACAACTGCGTGTGATTGTGTTGTATAAAATCGATGACCATTGATAACGAAACAAAAATCACTTCCATATTTAACTAAAGACGAATTTCTGCAATACTGAGAATTAACAACGAATTTAATATCACTCATCAGTTTTTTGTCACTTTTTATAATAATTTACCATCAAATCTAAAAATAACGCTTGTTATAAGGTATATACATATTCTTTGTATATAAGGCACAATTATTTAAATAAAGTTTCTCTTTTTTAATTTAACCTTGAAATTTAAACATATTCAATAATTCTTGCATATTGAATTTGTGTGCGCAATGAAAAATAATATACGCAAAATTCAATGATTAATGATTAAAAAAAGATTCAAAAATTGATATAAAACGGTTTTTATACATGCATTTTCTTCAAAATTATGGCTAGAAGAAAAATACTCTACCGTTAAATGAACATTGTTAAAATTGATACTATAGGGTGTCCAAAGGTGCATTTAGCACAGCGCTCTATATGAGACTATTAAAGGAGATATATGCTGATTATAAATATATAATAAAAAATATGAATATATGTATATGATGAGTATGTTGTATTTGGGCCATGCCGGGATATAAAATGAATTTTGAGACAAGAGGCGGTTTCGCGGGAAATTTTGGCGGGATTTTTTTCATTTTTTTAATGAATCATAAAGAAAACATCCTCGCTCTTGCAAAAAAATGCAAAGACTGTAAAAAAATCTACGAGACATTGGTAAAATGCTTCGGTATGGATGCTCCTAGCTATTCCACTGTAACGTATCATGTTAGGATGTATCACTTCATGAACAAAAAGGCGCCCATCATAAAAATTGACAAAAAATCGCCGGATCAAAGAAAAATCAAAGCAATTCTTCAAGCGCTAGATGAAGACCCAAGAGCATCACTCAGAAGGATAGAGGAGATGACAAAGATACCAAGTACAACAGTCAGTTATTATCTGCACAATTATTTGAACTACAAACTAGCGTATACACGTTGGGTTCCGCACAACCTTAATTCAGTTCAAAAAAATCTAGAGTCCAATCTTCGAAAGAGCTCCTCTCTATATTGGGTGCGTATCAATCCAAGAAGTTTCGCTTTTTAGTAACAGGGGACGAGTCTTGGTTTCAATATGCAACATAAGCCAAAATCATGTGGATCCCGAAGGATGAAAATCCGCAAACATTCCCGAAGAAAAAAATTGACACACCAATGATGATGTTGTCGGTTTTTTGGGGCGTGAATGGCATCATCGCAATTGATATTCTTCAAAAACCTAATACGATGAATGCTCAGTATCTAATTGACAATGTTCTTACTCAAATTATCAATTCTGATGAGTTTGAGAAATCCAAACAACAAAAACAAAAGTTTGCAATTCATTTATAATTCAAGAGTTCACAAAAGTCATAAAGTAATGAATTACTTGTTGGAAAACAATGTCAAAGTTGTTCCAAACCCAATTTATTCACCTGATATTGCACCCTCTGACTTTTATTTATTCGGCACGCTAAAAAAGAGAGCTGAAGGACGCGAATTCGCGAGTCCAGATGATCTTGAAAATTTTGTAAGAGAGCAATTTGAGCAATTTTCTCATGATGATTTAAAGCGTGTCTTTCAAGCCTGGATCGATCGCTGCGAACGCGTGATTGAATCCAATGGTGATTATATTTAAATAAACTTTATATATATGTAACTTGTTTATTTCTATTCGCAGTATTCAGGTTTGTGCTAAACACACCTTTGGACACCCTATATTCTGACCATGAGTCAATGTTTATTTTTGACTTTTTAATCTTGATTAAATAATGCAGACAAAAAATTTGTAAATAGGACTAAAGATCTGCTACATAGTAAACGAAACAGAAGTTTGATGAAATGCTTGAGGTTTAATCTCTAAATTCAAGCCCCTTTCTACTAGACCAAAGCAGAATTTATTCTCATCATCGTCATCTTTCTATTTTGTGAATTTTACGCATATGATGGAAAAATATACTTCAGTAATTGACTTCAATTTTATAACATATTATATAATGCCAAATTTAGCGTATAAATATAATAAATCCTAAGAAATAATTCGATAAATGGCATCCTAACACACAACTGTTAATAAAGAGGGATTTGAGTACTGTTATTATGAGACGACCGTTGCCTTGCCAGATGCCCGGGATGTGTTCAACTTCTGAAAATAAATATTCAGAATTCAGATCAAAATTATATTTCCTCAATTCATTATTCTCATAAAACTCATCACGCGATTCGATCAGGCCAGGTGGTATATATGCATCCTTTGTCAAAGCCCATGAGCTCCCACCGCCACACCCTCCATTGCAATGATGACTAGCAAAGCCACCGAACCAGCCGCCTCCAGCACCGCATCTATCAGTCTGCTTATACGGTATTTGTACTCCTTTAGAATTCTTAGATCCATATAACTGAGCGGCTTCTCCAGTACCAAAGGTAAATCCCGATGAGGAATTTGCTAAATATTTGCCGTTGTAGACTCGGTCAGCCCACCAACCTTGAGCAACAAGGCTGCCGCCGGAGCCACCTCTAGAATCATCACCAGCAGAGTCATCAGACCCACCGCCAGCACCGCTAACTATCACTCGATGATAGAGGGAATTTTCTAAAAATTGGACAGAAGTTTGCCCACCGCCACTCGCCGTACATAATTCATATCCTGCAGAACTACCACCACCACCATATCCACCAGGAACCATATGCTCCTTGTGAAAACAGTTTTGGGTGGGTGAGCAAATCGAATTTTTCAGATATTGTCCCATACCACCAATTGTGGCATATATTTGTGTTAATCGCTTAATATGAATCAATCCACGAACATAGCCTCCGGCACCACTGTAACCAAATGATGAGAGGCATGTTGTATTGCCGTGGAAGAGTCTGACTAAACTATCCTGCATGCATTCACCCGAGTCATAATGATAGGTGGACACTTTGCCTGTGGAACTACCACCGGAAGCACCATACAATTCGAATTTATATAAACCTGGATGGAGCGCAATGGAGTAATCAGTACATGAGGAAGGGTCTTCGCAAGGATAATCGAAAACGTATTTATTGTCTTCAACAGAAACAGGAAGCTGTGATTTGATTTTGATACCAGCCTTATCTGGCTCATATAATGAATATCTGATCATCTAAAGAAGTTCTTAACATACCTACTACCATCATTCGAGATTCACCTCTGACTTCTTATCTCGGCAACAACTATATCTGAATCATAATCAGAAAAAATAACACTTTTAAACGATACCAAGCATGTTTTTTAAATGCAATTAGATGAGTTTGGATAGTTGGAAGAAAAATAAAATCAAAGATATCTAATCTATGAATTACCGACAAATGATAATCATGAATGTATTATAAACATGTAACTTAATAATGATTTGACACACTAGCATGTTTTTAGTAAAATGTTCTTCATTTTGATGAATCAAAAGCATAACTGCATTTTTAAAAAAAAAAAAGGTAGTGGGGCTTCCAGGCACTTCGTGCCCTCTAGCCCCGAAGATGTTTAGTATAAATGAAGTTTTTATTCGGAAAATTGTTAGTCTTCTGGTGTGAATTCGGAGGACTCTTCTTCTTCCTCCATTGCTTCTGGGAAGAAGCCTTCTTCTGGGTCGAAAACATTATATAATGTGTCGCTTTTCACAAATTATATATGTTTTCATGTTTTGTCACTTTTCTGTCACTTTTCAGGAAAAAAACATTTTTATTATTATATATAAATGAATTTTACAAAACCTCCGTTACCGTTCTTTGGAAATAAGAGTAAATGTAAAGATATTATATTGAGAGAACTTAAGAAACTACCGAATGGTCTAACATTTGTAGATTTGTTCGGTGGAAGTTTCTATATATCCCATTTGTGCCATACAATATTCCCAGACTCAAAGATTATATGCAATGACTTCGACAACTATATGGACCGTCTCAAACATATACCAGACACAAACAATATATTGAAAGAGTTAAAAGAAAAGATACCTATAGGTAAGATGGAACGTATACCATTAGATAAGAAAAATATTGTGAGAGAGGTTTTGAAAAAAGCAGAATATATAGACTGGGATAGTATATCTGCTAGACTATTATATAGTGGTGCTATAAGAGTTCATGACATTGAAACACTTATGTCAAAAGTTTTATATCTTAACTATACAAATGTTTTCAAAGAGGACATAGAAAAATATATTGAGGGTATAGAGTTTGTGAGATGTCATTGGACAGAGTTGTATGAAAAATATAAAGACAAGGAAAATGTTTTCTTTATAGTGGACCCGCCGTTCTATAACACATGGGATTTTCAATACCAAGTAGACTGGACTTTGAGAGACTCTTTAGAAACTTTAGACGTTTTACATAACCATCCATGCTTTTACTTTACATCCGATAAAAGTGGTTTGGAAACCGTTATGAGATGGTTAGAGGACATACATGACTATGAGTTTAGATATGACAAGATAGAATATGAGAGAGGTCCTATAAACCGGAGAAAGTGTCATAACAAAGAAATTTTATTAGTAAGTAAATGTGGTTTGAAATAGGACTACTTGTTTTAGGTTTTTTCCATTGTGTCATTTATTTATTTGACGTGGCAGAAAAGTACAGAGAATATGAAGATGAACCAATGCCTGCAAATGTTCAGTATATGTACTCGTAAGAGATATTTTTATCTAATATTAAATGGACGCACAGAACTTAGCGAATGCACAGCAACCTGGACAACCAAACCCAGAGAATATTCCAAATGAAGTTAGAATACAAACTGCAATGGCAAACTATGGTCAAGTGCCAACAGATGTACAAATGCAAACTGCCATGTCAAATGACGCTGCGTTAGGTTTGCCACCATGGTATGCAAATATGAGATGGAAAGAGTTTTATACAAACCCTGAAGTGGGATATAAACAACTTTATGCAGATGACGCGAACACAGGAGTTGACCCAGAATATGTTTTCTACCAGAGGAGAAACAGAATGTATGAGCTCCAGTTAAAGAATGCTATGGAACTCAACAGGAAACGTAAGAGACTAGGCGGACATTAGATTTTTACATATAGTAAAATGGGTTTCTTCAGTAAGATAGGAAACTTCTTTCGAAATGTTGGAAGAGGTATATGGAATGGAATAAAAACCGTAGGAAGAGGAATTTGGAACGGTGTCAAAAATATTGGTAAAAGGGTAGGTCAGTTTTTGGTATTATACCTAAAGACCCTGAACCAGAAGAACAAGCTCCTGTTATACAACAGCCTGAACCTGCACCACAGTCTAGTTGGCAACCAAATCCAACACCACAACCGGTATATTAAAAAATTATATTTTTACCGTTCGATAGTAGTTGTATATGAAACTAAGTTCTAAGTAAAACGCATGGTATAATGGAATTATTCTTTTTCTTCCATCTGTAGTAAACCATACTTGAAAGTCTGAAATACTTCCACTTGGTGGTTCGTATAACTTTGTAGGTTTTTCGTAAAAGTCATTTGCCAAGCATAAGAAAGAGTTTTGGGCGCCAGAAAATGAAGCATGAACAATAATAGCATCTGGGTCGAAAATATTTTCATATGTTCCATTAGGGTTTTCGACTTCATAATAGTCCGGGTGTACTGGATATGCTGCAGGCTGATTTAACATCCTCATAAATCTATACCATGCCAAGTTGTTATATTTTGTAGAAATATAAACGTTTTCTCCAAGGTCTTCTATTCTATTGATTTTAACAGTTGCATTTTTCCTGTCATAAATAATATCGAGATGGTATTCTCCTTCGTCAATGTTATACTGTTTTGCATATTCGATATAGATATCGTTTATTTTTTCTTGAAAAGCTTGAAGAGTTGTTTCTAAGTTTACAAGCAAACTAACTTGTAAAAGTTTTCCCTGTTCAAATTTCTCATACATACGTTTTTCTTTGTTATAGTATCGAACTTCAAAACCGACCGTAAATGGGAAACCATGTATGGCTTCTGAAATGAACTTCATTCTACGAAAGCCAATAGCTTTTGTGACAGATGGGTCTCTTAGCCATCTTAATGGGTAGTCAAAACGATAGCCTTCATGCTTTACGGTCTCTGTCTCAAACTTTTGACCGACATTAGTAAAAAGTTCATCTAATGGTTTAGTTGTAGCAACTCTTGAATTTTCTTTTTCTATTGGAAGCATATTTTATCTAGAATAAAAATGTCGAAAGATATTGCTTCCATGAGAGAAATACAACACAACCGACAACTCATTATGCAAGCTCTAAATAAGAACACAACAAACTTTTCAAACTATTCTAAGATATCTGAGTCATTGAAAGAAGGAAACTTAAAACTGACAATAAACCCAATGACAGATGAGTTTCTGTTTCAAGACAATAAGAACCATACTGTCTGTATAAATCCAACAAAAGGAACTTTAAACGAGAAACCTATAAATGAACTTCTTTTGAAAACAGATGTTGACAACAAAGCTGACAAAGAATATGTAGACGATGCAATAGCAAAAGAAGAAGAAAGAGCTAACAATGCTTATGCAACAAAAGAACATACTCATCCTGAACTAGCAGACAAAACATATGTTGACAATAAAATGTCAAGTGAAGTGACGAGAGCTGAAAACGAATATTCTAAAAAGACTCATACACATTCTATATCTGAAATAACAGACTTACAAGAAACCTTAAACAGTAAAAGTGCCGTTGGACATACACATACCATTGCAAATATTACAAACTTACAAGAAACCTTAAACAGTAAAAGTGACGTTGGACATACACATACCATTGCAAATATTACAAACTTACAAGAAACCTTAAACAGTAAAAGTGACGTTGGACATACACATTCTATATCTGAAATAACAGACTTAAACGTTAGCCTTGAAAAGAAAGCAGACAAGAACCATACACATACCATTGCAAATATTACAAACTTACAAGAAACCTTAAACAGTAAAAGTGCCGTTGGACATACACATTCTATATCTGAAATAACAGACTTAAACGTTAGCCTTGAAAAGAAAGCAGACAAGAACCATACACATGATTTCTTCACAACTGTTGCTATAGAAAGTATTGAAGGAACGGTTGAAGAAACTGGTGGGGATGCATTATATTGTAAACCTCCTAACTTTCCACAAGGTTTAACATCGGATGACGACATAACGACGATGAGAAACATTAGATGTAAAGATGTTTATGTCATGAAGGATGAACATAATATTAAATTCACTGCTCAAGATTTATATGACAAGAAAGCAGACAAAACAGAGCTTCAAACATTAAAGACAGAAATACTTCAAACATTATATCCTATAGGCTCTATTTATACGTCAATGAACTCTACCAGACCAGAAGTAGTACTTGGTTTTGGAACTTGGACTCAAATAGTCGACAGGTTTTTGTATTGTGCAAACTCTTCAAAGGAAACAGGTGGAAGTAAAACGATTTCAGGTGAAAATTTACCTGCACACAGTCACTACATAGATTTAAGTACATCTCAAGCAGGTTGGCATAAGCATAGATATTGGGATTGGTCAGCAATGATAAAAGGTAAAGGATATTATGTTAAAGACAACGTTAAGTTTGCTATAAATTGTTACTGGAGTAACACTGAGGGAGGAGGAAACCATACACATCACGTTTCAGGATATACGCAAACAACGGGACAAAGTAAAGAATACATGCCACCTTACATGACAGTTTACGCATGGTATAGAAATGCTTAGTCGTCATTTTCAACTTCTTTAGCATATTCGTCAGGAGTTGTCTTATATTTGTTAGGAACTGTCTTTGAAAGTATACCACCTTGAACTTTGACAAGTTTGAAACGAGGTCTGACAATAGTCGTTTTATCTTCTGCTTGCAGTCTGTACATTTTGCCATGTTTGCCTAAAACTTCATAATATTCTCTTGTATACTTTCTTCTATTTTTACGAACACGAATGTGAGTACCTGTCGGGTTCCCATTGTTGTCATAGTCAATAGTATTTTCATATGGGTCGCGTTTAGGTATTTCTATTTTTACTTTGTCACCTTTCTGAAGTTTGAAGCCCGGCATTCTTTCTTGTTTGTCTCTTTTGACTAAATTATTAAATATATAGTCTTTCTCTAAGTCAGGGTTGTTTTTCATTTCTTCGGGGGAGTGGTTTCCCAAACCTTTTTGTTTACGGCTATTGTAAATATTTAAAACTTGTCTCATCTTTGCCATGGAGAAGTGTCTATATTTGTCGTCATATGACATTTCATTTGCTTCACCACCTTGTGGTTGGTTTAAGTCTCTTAACATTTTTATACAACCGTCAATGACACCAAGAGCAGAATGGTTTTGGTCGACAATGAAATATTGGTTTACATTTTTTGAACGCAGATAGTTTTTTACATCATCTGATTTGAAAGAACTTTCACAGTCAGATGTCAGTTTTGTTGGATGGTATTTGTCAACGAATATTGTCAAAGCAGTTTTCACATCTAAAATATTTTTGGACCATAATGGTATGGCTTCACAGTATCTTGTGTTTTGACCGACAAATATTAGCCAGTATGGTGGTCCATCTGTTCTAACTCTCGGAATGTTTTCCAAGATATCCATAAACCAAGCATTTGGTGTTGAACTAAAGATTTTTATCATGAGTGCTTTCTTTGTCGCTTTAGAAACATAGGGGTCCTTGTTTGGATTCGTCATTTTTATCCTATAAGAAATGGGTTTATTTGGCGCATTAGCAGGAGTTGCATCCAGATTTTTGCCCGCAGTGGGAACAATAGCCAGAGGTGTATTTGGAGTTGGAAGGAAGATTTTGAGTACATTAGGTATACTGAAAGAGAAAGCACAACCTATTATACAAACTGTACAGAAAGGTTGGGAGTAGCACGAGATGCAACAAATCTTATTCCAAATCCTGAAACAAGAGGAAAAGTTCAAGGATGGATGGACAATGTAGGAAGACAAGCAGGAAACTATTATAACAAAGCAAATGACTACTATAACCAAGCAGGACACTATATGGACCAAGGTGAAAGATTCTTTAACAGAGGATATAACCATGCACAACAGTGGGTAAACAATAACCAACCTCAACCGCCTCAAACGTGGGGAATGTAAAGTTTTTTACTGAGATGAAATGAACAATACAGCATTGAGACAAATGGGTTCAAGATGGATTTGTCGGCTTCCAGCAGTTACACAACGTGTTTGTCAAGTTCTTCCTATACCTCAGGAAGTTTTAGACCGACTTAAAAAACAACAACAACCAGTTGAAAACAAACCAAACTAAAATTTTTTACTGAGATGAAATGACCGAAGAAGTTGAAACGGTAGATTTGACACCACAAACAAAAAGTTCAGAACCATTGTCAAAACCTGTCAAAGAACTTACAGATGAAGAGAAAAATTCAATAATAGAAAGTGCCAGGTCTGGAAATACAAACCCTAACTACAAAGTCACTTTTCATAAAAATGGAACGGCTAGTATCTCAAAAAAGAAACAGACTCTCACAAATAAAATATTGAAGTCTGAAGGAGCTTTCGAGACAACAGATGGAAAAGTTTACTTCACTGACCAACAGTTCATTATAGAACATCTCATTGACTTAGAGTCGAAATATTCTAAACTTTACAACAAACACAAAAAGTTGAAAGGAAAACAAAAACAAATGGCATATGATATTTATGAAGATGTTGACGACACAACTGTTCCTGCAAGTGAAGTAAAGTCAGAGAAACCGAAAAATGACGAAAAACCGATAGAAGAAGAAAAACCAAAAACTGAAGATAAACCAAAACCAAAGTTTAGTTTGGAAACTAAACCAAGTCAACCTTCATTAGCTGGTATGGGTTGGCGTCAAAGACTTATGGCAGCAGGCGGTTATGTAAAGTAAAGAAAAAAATATTTTTTTATTTTTATAAAAATGCCCCCATATAGAATGGATAGAAAATCTGCTAGAATAAAAGCAGAGTTGCAAAGATATGGTTGGAGAGTTTCGAAGAATTTTAAATATAGGAAGGGAAGACCCATAAAAGTCTATGACAAATTGTCTGGTCTTCGCTACGAAATGGATTTGGAAACAGCACGTGCAAATTATCCAAACAGACTAGAGAGGTTAGAAGAAGAACGTCTTATGGACATGCCTTTCGATGTTAGTGAACCTCAAGTTGAAGGACACGACGGCTTTGCCAGATTCTACTGGAAACATGACGAACAATTGCATCCTTTGAGAAGGAAAAAAGGTAGTGCAGAGGATGGTCATGCTCCCATGGAAAGAACAAGATATGCATATGAGAAGTACCGTGAAGTTAGAAGTCAAATTACATCTGGTCGAACCTTTACAGTAAACTTTGACGAAGGAAAGAACAAAGAAGGCTTCATGGGAGTACTTGCTGCAATTCAAGATGGAAATAAGAAAGGATACAATCTCAGATTGACCATAACAGATTTGGATGGTCACATTTACTATGCACATGGCAATGTCACAACAGCTGCAATGCTTCTTGACGCTTTCAAGACTACAAAGAGAGAACAAATGGTTGACTCCGACTCAGACATTTTGAATGCAATTGAAGGAATTGCAAGTGTCAAGTTCGAATGGTACCAACCTAACCCTCAAGCAGTCAGACAACATGCTGGATACTTCCCCTTCATAAATAAGTCTGACATTGACTTGACAAGGTATGGAATTTACAATTCAATTGAAACAATTGTCAATGAACCTTGCATTCTTACATGTCTCAGGAACTCTGGTCTTGTTACAGAAGAGAAGATGAAGTATCTTGAGTCATGTGTGAAGACAAGGTACATTCTCAGAGGTCAATTGGCAAAAATTGCACCGTTGGCAAATGTCAATATCCGAGTCAACATCCAGCTAAAGGTTCTTCACATGACGACTATGTTGTTGACAAAGACTTACCATGGTTGAAGATTGTAATTGTCCACAACCACTTCATGTTGAACGAAAGTCTTACAAACCCATTCTTTGGTAAAAGTAAGTGCAACATTGTCAGAGCTGTTAACATTCTTTTCGAGAAAGGTTTGTTGGAACCAATTCCAGATGACAAGCTGACAGAAACTTTTGTACCAAAAGACGAAACGAACTTTTCACTGTTAGCAAGACCAAAAGTTGTTCCAGACAAAGTTCTAGTACAAAAGAAGTACACAATTCCACAAGGAGTTGGATTGTTCGGATACCAACCTGAACCAGAAGAACTTCCAATGAGGTTGCAAGAACTTCAAGATGCTATAAACAAACTTCCATTGAGACATCCAATTGACGTCAAATTGTATTGGAGAGCATCTGAGTTAGGTCAGAAGGTTTTATATGAAACAGGTTGCTTCGACGATGTTTATGAGATAACAGGAGAAGTTTCTCAGAAGATAAGAGACTCACTTGAATTTCCACAAACTGGACCAATTGGTTGCGACAAGTTCGACTCAGATGAAAAGATATACTATGTCGACCTTAACGCTGCATACATGAGGTTTGTCCAATATATTCCGACTGGAATTCCAAACGAAGATGGTGAGTTCCCGGGAAGGAACTATACAGTTGGAAAAGTCATACAACAACTGTATGATATTAGGAAAGCTTCAAACCCCAAACTTGCAATGACACTCAAATTGCTTATGAATTCGACATGGGGATATTCCATTAAGAAACCTCAAGAGATGAAGAGTAAACATTATGAGAAGGTCGACAACTTTGTTGAAAGGTTTTCTCCTTTTGTTTTGAAGTACGAATTCACTCAAGGTCAAAGTGGCTTAGTAACCACATTAAAACCTATTGTCGAACATTGGTCTTACCCTCAGTTCGCAAAGGCAGTCCTTGACAACTACAACAAATTCTTCTCCGAAGTCAAATCGAAAGTTGTGGTTTACTATGAGAACATTGACGCACTCATGACGAACGAAGAAGGGTACAACAAACTCATTGAAATGGGTTTAGTCGGTGAGAAGATGGGTCAATTCAAATTGGACAAAATTTTCACCGAAGTTCATGTCCTCTCCAAGCGTAAGTACTGGGGCATACTTGAAGACGGCACAGAAATAAAACATTGCATGAAATAAAAAATTTTTATATTCCTTCCTAGCTAATTTCGTTTAATTTCATGGTCGCCCTCGGAGTCTTTGAATCGGACAGGTCGAGTTACACCATTCTTGGTCTCAAACTCATATATAACCTGTTTGTCTGTATTTTCGTCGACTATGGTACGAGACACGAACATTGACCAAACGGACAAAAAGTGTCATTTCGGATGGTCACACAGCCAATCGCATTCGAGCACTTCGAAGAAGCCTTACGTTCCAAGGGAGAGGGTGTCTGGTGCAAGGCAGAGGTCATGAAACTCTACGAGCAGTACATCCTCAATGCCTGGGAGGACAAATCGTCCTTGGATTGGCAATTCTACCAACTCCTCTGGGACGACCTCCTACGCAACTGGGATAACGAAAGAGTCCAATTCAAAGGTCGGGAACTAATTTTGCAAATTACCCTTAATTTAACATACTTATCCAAATAAACACCTAAATTTACTTGGGGTTTCCCCCTAAAATAATTTTTTTTACTCTTAGAACCACTCGAGGTTCTCCTTACGGTTGTTGAGCTTGTCACCGTCAATGTGTCTGACCCTCGACTTCTTGTCTGGATTTGGAACCCATTGCATACCGACAAGCCTTCCCATGGAAACTGAACCGTAATTCCGAAGGTTAAGGTTCAAGTGTCCCAAGTTGTTGAAGAC